GGTTATCTGTAAAATGGTGAATACTAACGAGTCGTTGCAGCATCTGAGAAGATCTTCTAAAGCTTTCTTGATGTTTGCTTAACTTGTATGACAAGTGCAGAGACAATGCTCGTTTAATTATTCACTATTCTTTCATTTACGCTTTGTAGAATAGCTTGGCTCAATGCTACTGATAAGGCTTTAGTTTGCCTCCTAGTGGAGCAATTGAAGATCAAGTTTTAGGATTCGGAAAGGATAAAGAAGCTGAAGTCCCCGAGTAGAATACACAAATTTTCAGTGTTGGTTCTGTACCTTAAAATTTTTTTTTTTAAGGAAAAATTGTGTTTCTCGTGGACCAAAGCCACTGGAAATTTCAGATAAATAGGATTTGTTCCCTGTTCTTGCGGCTGAGAAGCCTCAAGCTCCGCCCCCCTTACTCACCTCTGAATCTATAAAAATGCCCTTTCCCCTTAATAATAAGGTAAGCTCCAGAACCAGCGGAATTCCTAATCCTATCTGTTGACAAATTTGCAACAAAATTGGATGGGGTTGTCCTTAAGTTTTTTTCCCCTTCTACTTTGTATTTTCCTTTGTTTTTTCTTTTTCTTGAGGATATCTTGTTCCAAAATTTTGTATCTCTTTCCTCAATTCTCTTCTTTAACAAAATTCTTCTACCAAAAAAGGGAAAAAAAAAAAAAAAGGCGAAGGCAGCTGCAGGCAAGGTCCCCTAGATTTCTAAACACCATGACGAAGACATTATTAAGGAAATAAGATGAAAACCACAATGCTATACCAGTCAAAGCATAACGTCAAAATTTAAGGGTGACAATATCTAACAGCTGCTACCTAACATTGAAAAGTATGTTTCCATCGCGTAACAGAGCATGAAGAGATCAGAGAGGAAGAAGGGGATTACCTCTATTTTTCAGTCATACTCACACTTACTCCATCTCAATAAAATGAAAAGCTGCTCAAATCTAGCAGCACTATGTTCTCTCTCTCTCTCCCCCCCCCCCCCCTCTTTCCTGAGAGGAAAAAGAACAGATGAAAATCCCCCCAGCTTGGTTGCCCAATTTTTTTAAGACATGTATATTCATGTTGCGCTTTAGGCTTACAATTAACAAAATCACAAAAAGCAGTCCCTAACATTGAGTACCACAACTTTAATAGAAAGTTTAGGCAACTTGTGCACTCTAACCTAACCAAAAACCACCCACCACCAACTGTCCCCACAAAAAAAAGAAGGCATATACCACACCGTTCGTTTTATTAGCCTAGAACTAGACAAAAGACAAAACACATGTCAACAAATAACGCACCAAGTCCGCACGTCAAATAAGAATGTTTTTCAACTTCTTACCCTCTTCATCGCTGTCATCAAAATCGTCACCCATACCATCATTGCCCATGCCTCCCATCATGTCGCCCATTCCGCCCATCATGCCGCCCATGCCTCCCATCATGTCGCCCATGCCTCCCATCATGTCGCCCATGCCGCCCAATTTCTGTAATATACATCAATAAAAATCACCATAAACAACAAGTTTCAGAGATGGAAATCAGAAACCAGAAAGATCATGAGCCAGCACATCCTTACAGAGAAATCCATGCCTCCTACATCTGAGTCAGCAGGACCTAATCAAAGTGAAGTAAAATTCGAAGTTATAAAGTGATTTGTTACTACAAAATCCTACAAAACAAATTTCGGAAGTACAAAATACAAAGTAAAATACCAGCATCCTCATCTTCATCCACCCATTTATCCCAATCTACTTTCACATAGTGCGGTGCCTTGTCATCTCCGCGCAGTAGTTTCGTCCACCATTTGTTTTCTGCTTTCTCCAAAACACAGAATATACTTCTCACCCCCACATTTATTTTGCTCTCCTATAACAATGAAAATTGACATTCACATTGAAGAAAGCAATAGATTTTCATGGTACAACTCCAACAGCGGCAAGCATGCAATTTGCCAATCAATGTATTTCCCTAAAGAATAAATCCAACTCATTTTCATTATCATAAAGGCAGGAAAAGAAATTACCTCTACATTGTTTCTCATTAATTCAACCCTCAAATACCATCATGACAGTTTTATACACGCTTTCAATAGCTAGATTCTTGACGTCATGTGCAAGTTGGAGAAATGGCCATCAAAGAGTAAGGCAAATGACGGAAAACTTTGTAGTGACTATAATTTATATGGTGGTTCATCCAACAAAGTTTTCAAAAAGAACAATAGAAAATCAAAAATGAAGGAAACCACCTCTCACCTCTACGTTAACCTTATCAAAAAGATCAAGCTTCAATTCATAGACGTGGTTCCCTGCCCCAGCATTAGCAAAAAATGTAAAAACTCCCTCTGGATCAAGATTGACCTTCGCATTTTGGGAATCTGGCAATAGAACTGTAACATAAACCTTGCCTGGCCTCTGGGCCCACTTTACCTCAGGGTGCCGACTGTAAGTCAAAATAAATGTACAATAGAGCTTACTCACTGGCAAACAATAGTATAAAAAATAAAGAAAGAAAAAAAATACAAGATCAGGATGACAATGATGTCCAAAATTCATCCCCAACAACTAGTCACACATGAATACAAAGTTAACATACATCTTATCACAAATTCACAAGGTAACTACAGAAATTGGCATCTAGAAACACTTTATCAACTAAAGATGTAGTATGCCTAGCCCAGCCAGCTTCAGTGACACTAATATAGGCGAAATGCAAACAATATTTTCAATATTAATGAACAATACCCAAAAGGCGGAAGGAAGTAACACAATCTTTCAGTTCACACAGATTAGATAGTTCAAGAGTGCACAAGTCTTATCACATAATAGTACCCTAGAATACGAGCACATAAAAAGCACTTATTCGAGCAACTCCAATTTCAGGGTAATTGTTTCCCCATGTTGATATCCCATTATAAAAAATTGCATATTTTGAAACCCATCATAAAGATAGTTGTAATTGTATTTGTCCAAATGATAAAGGCAACTGTCGTTGAAAAATATATACTCTACTGAATACAAATCGAAATAATATATGAATCACAATTAAATCATAAAGAAGTTACTGTGTAGTTAATACCAAATCAAATCAAGTACCACATTGTGCTTACGTCACCAGAAAAAATTCAATAAGCTCGAGAAACAAACAAGGATACGGGTAGTGCACCGATCACATAAACTCTTTCTTTCATACGTATCGAGTCTCTTCTCATACAGTAATATTCCAAAACAGAACAAAAAAAAGCCGTACCAAAGAATATCAGAAACCACTTTGTAAACTGAAACAAAGACTAAATCTAACAATGAACACAAAACGAAAAACCTACAAATTTGTCCAAATCACTACAGATGATACGACAAGAACAAAGTTAAGCCATTGCTACACAAGCTGAAAGCCAAGTAGCGACTTCTACTTTCTTTGCTCTCGAATTTCTCCCCAATCAAAAGTTTATACACACTGAACTATTTTCAATATCAACAATGATCATATCATCTTCAAGAAAAGCAACCAAAACCGGATCGAGACATTAAAAAGAAAATAAAAGAAGAAAAAAATTGTACGATCTGAAAAGAATCAACCGGAGGGATACAGACGCAGAACCGAAAATATCATTTGACAGAGAAAAGATTACCTCATCTCGAAGTATAGAAGATGAAAGAAAATGGAAATGGAAAACCCTAGAAGCAGAGCAGAGTGCCAGTTAACTTACGACAAAAGCGAGGAAGGTCTCACACTCCACCCTTTGTTCTTAAACCCTCTTATGTTCTACCGTGTGATTACTCAGGCGGTTCTAATAATTTACATTCACAAGACGTGAATGGCTATTGGAAGATCAGGACAATCGTAGGGCCAGGATTGGTGCTCCAGGAAAATCGGTGAAACTAATGGTCCAGATTATTAAGGTGCATGTGGATCTACGTCGGTGTCTCAATTTACGGCTTTTCTTTTTGTGCAAGCATGGAATAATTCTAGAAGCGGGCCCGTGGCGAGATTTATGGGCTCATGTTTGGGTCCATTACCCATTCTATCCACCCTCATCTAGATTTGGATGCTTGGGCCTCCAAATCAAATGCCTGTAGATATTTATAAGCCCCTGTTTTGGTCCATTATCCATTCTATCCATCCTTTTCTAGATTTGGCAATCCTTATCTAGATTTGGCTGTTTGGGCCTCCAAGTAAAATAAGCACACTAACATGGCCCATTTGGAGGTGGGCTAGAATACGTGAGGTAATAATTTCATTGATTTGAGTCAACTCTGTTTTTTAAGGTTTACGCATTCCCAAACAACTTGACTCGACAGCAATGTCTGGTGGTGCAACAAGGCCTGGGTCTATATACTCTTCTCCTTCTTGAATTCTATCCATAGGCTTCGCCATTGCTAGATCAACCTCTTTCACCAAATAGCTTAGCCTTTACCCTTCAAAAATCCATAATCAAAAACATTTTCTTTTAAATCCCTAATATCAATAAAAATGCCCTACAGAGTATCCATAGAAAAATCCACTATAAGTTCAAGAACATTTCTAACCAAATAGACGCCCCCTTCCAAGGGACTTGGGCCCGGTCCATCGCACTGCTCTATGTATTAGAAGGTTATTATAAACATCAGTACAAACACACAGACAAAGTAAAATAAAATATAAATTAATTCATCAAAGTAGATCGAATTAGCAGATCTTAGAAGTTAACAATTTAAAGTAATAAATTATATTTTTGTAAAAAAAAATGATTTATACAATACGTATGATTAATGATTGTAAGTATAAATACACTATTCATAGCATGATTAAAGTTAGGAAAAATGAACTAATCTTTTTGTATGGTAATTCATTCATACTCATTGCATTCATATCATAAAGGAGAGAATAATGGATCCTTATAGTGTCACAAAGTAATTTTTATAATGAAAAATGAAAAGTAATTTTTATAATGAAAAATGAAAATTAATTTTGAATCTTATGCTCTAAACTAATTTTTATGATGATGTCATATTAAAGTTGATCTTGATAAATAAATACAATTAAAAATTTAACATTAATGATGACACGTTGAATGATTCAAATAAAGAACATCCTTAATTGTGCCATTAGTTCAATCCACAAGTGACAGCGAAAAATATAGAGACATGACTTTTTTATGATGCACAAAAATGAATTATGTACCATCAACCAGTGTTTTCAGAATTGAATTGGACCGATTGATCGGACCAATCCAACCACAAATCGGAACCTAAGTCGGTCCGATTCTTAAGTTGAACCGTATATGCAGTCGAACCGGAAAAAAACCGTTAAGCTAGCTGATTTTTTCATAAAACCTGTTAATCTGAGGGTTTTTTAAAACCGGACGGTTGGATGTCAAAAAATATTTTTTTAAAAAAAATCCTCTTTTTTGGGCTATTTTGCCCTAAATCTTCAATTCAATTCTAACTTCGTCCTTCAATATTCACTCCCAGACGACCAGGTCCACGCGACCAGCTCCATGCAACGAACGACGACAACAAACGACAAAACTCAGGCGGCAACGAACAACTCAGGCGACAGACCAGCACCTCCTCTGTTCTAGATCGAGCAGCTGATCTGACTGAGTCTCCTCTCACTCGTCTGGCCAGAGAGAACTAGGTTCAAAAAACTCCACTCATCTGATCTGACTGAGTCTCCTCTCAGGATCCCTTCCTTTTGCTTCCTGAGTGTTGTAACTGTAACCCTCTCCCCCATTCTTTTTCTCTCTCTGCTACACACACATAGAGACGACTCTCTCACCCAATTTTGTTTGTATGGTTGAATTTCTTAGAAAATGCATTTAATACATTTCATTTGAGCAATAACATATTATGTTTATGTATTTTTTTAGTTAAAATATTATGTTTTATATTTTTTATTATATAATCAGTTTAACCGGTTAAACCAGTGAATCATTGATTGATCCCCTTACCAATTCAATGATCGATTCGGTTCTGATAACATTGCAATCAACAGTCGAATGTATGATTCAAGAAAATTAGTGAAAGCAATCAATAGAGCAAATAACGAAGGAAATAAATATTGGATTGACACAAGCAATACACAAATTTATAGTGGTTCAGTCAGACTAATTTACTCCACTTTGAAACCGGCAACGATGAACGGTGATCTTTATTGATGAAGTAGTAGGTGTGAGAGAGAACGGTGATCTTTATTGATGAAGTAGTAGGTGTGAGAGAGAGAGGGCAAGGGTATGTTCTTCGTAGTTGTGAGAGAGATAGTTGTCTAAGGTGTGTAGAGAGAGATGCATTTCTCATATGGAGATGACTTACAATTTATAGGTACAGGGTCTTAATTGAGGCGGTGGTTGTAGATGATAGGTTTCTACCTTTTCGGAGAGGATAATTACAACTAGGATAGGTACAATTTGAGATAATCTTGAATTAGGAGAGTGACTATTCTAGTAATTACTCTCCATGTACTCTAATCCTTTTGGGTTCCTTGAACTTTAGACTGGCCCAAATTCATAGGCTGAGCTTGACCTGGCTTTTAACTGACTTGGACTTATCTCATCAATTGGGCCTAACCCAGTTGGATCTAGGCTCGTTAGTTTTCATGATCACTCCAGGCCCCGTAGATTAATTTAAATTAAAAAACTTGTTATACTCCACCCAATGTCCAAAATATGTTCATAAACATAATTTTATTTTAAAAAAAAAAACAAAATTCATTGAGATGGTAATAAGAAGAGAATGAAAACGATTGCCTTAAGTTTTTTATATTTTTTTTGGTTTACATTTAAGACATCTAAAGATAAAGAGAGAAAGCAAAATATAGTAGTGGTATTATCTAAGTGGTGTACATGATATTATATCTAATAAACTCTAAGCGGTAACATGAATAAATTATAAATTCAGATGTTATGAGTTTGAATTTTGACAATTCTTTAGGCCTAGGCCATAATAGATTTATGCCTCATGAATACCGTAGTCTTAGTGCTGATGGTTTGCTTTTGACTAAACCGGAGGGAGAATTAGTCGAGATACACGTAAGCTGACTTGAATACCCCTGATCGTTCAACTAAAAATCTTTATAATACAGTAGCTTACAATTCAAATTTCAAAAGATAAACAAAATGACTTTTACTATTCGTAATTGAGATCGCTTTCAATTTTATTTTAAAGTTAATATAACGATTAATATTAACACCCTAAATTTAATAGAAAAATAAATCGGTGTGTTTGGAGTGACTTTTTAAAATTATTTTTCATAAATATTTTTTTTAAAAAATAATGTTTGACCGTTCCACCATTACCACCATCGCCACCACTGCCGCAGTCATCACCACCGTCATTGCCGATGCCATCACCATCGCCACCGCCACCGTTACTTTACTGCCCACCACAGCCGTCACCATCGTTGCCACCCTTATTGCAGCCGTTGACGCCACCCCAACCACCACCACCACCCGTCACCGTCGCTACCCCCACCACCACTACCACACCCACCCCCCACCACCGCTATGCCCACCGTCCCCCTACCACCATCATTGTCGCAGCCACCACACCACCATTGTTTCCGCCACTACAGTTATTGCCACCCACCACAACCATTATCGTCTCTTACCATTCTCACTACAAATCGATAATTAAATTATTTTATCTCTTCTCTATGTTTGTGTTTTGATTTTGGATATGAATACAAATATGTTTATTGTTTACTATTTTTTATTATTCTGTGCTTTTAGGTACAGACAATAACTAGTATATATAATAAAGTAGTTTACAATTCAAATTTCAAAAGATAAACAAAATGACTTTTGTTATTCGCGGTTGAGATTGTTTTAAATATTATTTTAAAATTAATCTAACGGTTAATATTAACACCATAAATTTAATAGCAAAAATAGAGTCTTAAAGGTGTGTTTGGAGTGACTTTTTAAAATTACTTTTATAATTTATTTATCATAAATACTTTAAAAAAAAAATAGTGTTTGAAACTGACCACCACTACCTTTACCACTACCACTGTCACCGTCACCGCCACCACACCAGCACCAACACATCATTGTCACCGACGTTACCACCACGGCCACTACAGCCATCACGACCACGACCACCGCCGTCGTTACCACCACCCACCTCCACCACCATCATCGCCACTACCACAGCCTCCATCATCGCCACCACTACCACCACCGCCACCGCCACCGCCACCGCCACCACCACCACCTCCGTCGTCACTACCACCACCGCTGCCACCACCACTGCCATCGTTGCCGTTGCCCTCGCCCCCACCACGGTTATTGCTACCCATCACAACTATCATCGTCTCCTATCATCATCACTGTCGTTCATCACTTCTCACCCCCACTACAAATCGATGCTTAAATTAATTTTTTTTTATTTATATTTGTGATTTAATTTTAACATAAATATAAATATGTTTATTGTTTATCAATTATTTTTACTTTGTGTCTTTAGGTATAAGTAATAACTAGTATATATATATATAAATTATATCCAATAATAAATAATCATTTAACAGGTTTAAGTCTTATATTGACAAACTTGAGTAGTGAACGAGTGTGTCAAATGAATGGTCCAACGCGAGGTTCGATATAATAATATCCATTGACAATTACAACAACAGATATGGAACAATATAATTAACATTGCATATATTCATATCGGTGGCTCTACTATGCAAATAATGAATATAATAAATATAGTTGAATTTAAATTCTAAAATTTACTTGATTTAAATTCTAA